TGAACAAAATGGGAGGGGAGGGGAAGGAGGGAGGGAGGGTGAAGGGAGGTGGGAGAGGGGGGGAGTGGGGGGAGAAGACGGTTTACGAAATATACACAAACGAACAAACTACCTATGATAAAATGAATTGGTGAGTTTTGTTTTTGGGGTTTTTTTTGTTTTAGTAGAAGTTTTGCAGCGCTTGCAACACAATAAGGTCATATAAATGCCGAAGATTAGAGGTGTTACAAGAGAGTAATAAACATAAAAAAGAAGCAGGGAAGATAAGGATGATAGATGTTTAATAGGAAAGAAGGAGCAAACCACACCAGAGCACCCGCCAACCACCCACGAATGGTTGAGTTCTAGTAAGAGTTTTACGGCTCTTGCAACCAGGGTGTCCAATGATACCCTACTACTTTCAAAAATCCTACCTGAGGATTAATTTTAAAAATCCTACCACCTGTTCTTTGAAGCGATTATGCAAAGACAAGAAGACTTTGAGCAAACAGTAGAACTCTGTCTCGCTCATTTCCTTGTAGGTTGCGGTCTTCACTTTTCCTCTCTCACAAGTTCCCGAATCCACGCATAAATCAAAATGTGAGGCATCGTGGTGAAATCAGGCGCTCGTCAAAATAATGAAATCAGAGAAACAAGCATTTTTCCACCAGTTTGCCAATTGTTGTTTTTTGCCTCACCACCTTTCGTGTCCATATAAAAACACACATTTTCGTGTGAATTTTACTTTAAAATGTTGGTTAAAGGCACAAAATATGTCATTTCATTGTTTTCAAGGACTCTCAAGCTATTGAAATTTTCAAACTTTGGTGGCCATTTTTTCGTTAATTTTACCACGGAAACCAGCTGACACACACCTCCTTCAATCGCAAATATCTCGACTGCTATATAAGATAAGATGGATGGGTATTTTTTCAGTGAAAGCAAGGCAAATATAGAAGCTTTCGGATGACACCAATAACTCCACTTGCCCAAAAATTGACGAGCGCCAGATTCAACCCGTCGTGACAGTATAACACGGATAGGTCAAACACAGAACACTCGCAATCACGCATCCGTCGAACTGTGCTTGCGGTCCCCCTTTGTTGTTTTTTCTTTTCTTCTTTATCTTTGTAAGATATCCCTCGAACTACGGATCCCTCCAGCTACCGAGGCCGGTCATGACGAATTCGAACTACCCGTGTTATACTGTGACTCCGATAAAGACTATAAAATGGACTGTCGGGTTTTAGGAAAAGTTTTACAGCACTCGCAACGCAATTAGTTCATATAGGTGTTGAAAATAAGAGGTGTTATTAGAGATTAAGTTATATAAAGAAAAGAAGGAGGAGAGAAGAGGATGACAAAGTTTGACAGGAAAGGTGGAACAAGCCACTCTGGAGCGCCTGCCAGCCACCCACGAAGTTCGTAACTAAATACGTCATGTATAAAAATTCCACTACTAAATATCACGCCACTGTTTTAGTATTAGTTTTAGTAAGAGTTTTACGGCACTTGCAACACAATAAGGCCATATAAGTGCCGAAGATTAGAGATGTTACAAGAGAGTAACAAACAAAAAATAGAAGGAGGGGAGATAAAGACGATAGATGTATGACAGGAAAGAAGGAGCAAACCACACCAGAGCACCCGCCAACCACCCACTACGCCACTGTGGCTAGGACAAAAACACTGAAAAGAAAGTAGAAGGAAAAGACTAGATACAGGGATGCCATTCAACTTTTTTGAAAATAGCTGAAAATCCACGCGCCACCGTCCCGCTAACATATGAATATCAATTTGAAACCCAAAGGGTGTACATAGAGAGAAATGACTTGCTGAGATTAACGCAAATCTTCCAGGGTTTTTTTCTCCCCGTCATTTGAACTTATGGCGAAGTCTTCGTTTTTCCGTTATTTGAACATTTGGCGCAAGTTGTTGTGTGTGTGGGGGGTTTTTTGTTGTTTTTTTCCAACGATAGATTCTATCTCGATCTCAATAACTGAATAGCGGATCAGGATCAAAATACTGAAAATACCGGAAGAAAACGAAAAAGTTGCATCCCTGTAGATAGACAGACAAAAACGTGCCCACACCCACCAAACGCCCACCGGTCCGCCAAAGCAGCGCATGTAGTATGTGAAACACGCCGTGTAGCATACCTTGAGTGTGTTCCTGTGCTCATCTGTCAAGAGAAGGATCAACAAGTTGAGAGCCTTCAGCTGCTCCAGGGTCTTTGGGATACCTGGCAACACAAGCGGGACAAATGAGGGGAAAAAGAGGACAAAAATAAGACAAATAATAATAATAATAATAATAATAATAATAATAATAATAATAATAATAAGAGCATTTGTATCCCGCCTTTCCCCACAACATGGGCCCAAGGCGTACACAGGAGATTAAAAACGCATTCATACTAACACCACACAAATTCATCATGTGCACACTTTTTCACAGCACTATTCTTTCAATCAAAAAAAAAATATTGGGGTGGGTGGGTGGTGGTGGTGAATTAGGGGGGGGGGGTTTTTTGTGTTTTAATAAGTGTTTTACGGCACTTGCAACAAAATAAGGTCATTTAAGTGACCAAGATTAGAGTAACATACACAAAAAAGAAGGAGGGGAGATAAATTGTTTTATTATAGTAGAGGGTTTTACGGCACTCGCAACTGCATAAGGTCATATGAGCGCCAAGGGGTGGGTGTCAACAGAGAAGTCCTTACAGGGAATCAGACTTATTCTGCTCACCTCTCTAGCTTCAAAAGCACAAAGTCTGCTTCGACTATCAAGGCATTCCGGAAATAGCAGGTCACAAGAGAGAGACAAACATACAAAAGAAGTAGAGGAAAATGACAATAGTAAGGATTAAGAAAGAAAAAGCAGCAGTTCCCTGTTGTAGATCAGGCACAGTTATGAGCGTGACATGAATTAGCCAAGCCGGACAAATGAGGAACAAAAGTGGACAAAAATAAGACAAATATTGGGGGAGGTGAATTACACAAACTTTAATGAGGGTTTTTTTCTTGTTTTAGTAAGAGTTTTACGGCACTTGCAACACAATAAGTTCATATAAGTGACGGAGATTAGAGGTGTTACAAGAGAGTAACAAACACAAAAAAGAAGGAGGGGAGATAAAGACAATAGATGTTTAATAGGAAAGAAGAAGCAAACCACACCAGAGCACCCGCCAACCACCTAATGAGGGGCAAAAGGAAGCAAAACTGATATTGAATTAGGGGCCCCTTGAATTAGATGAAGGACAAAATGGGCTGAAAATAAGGTAAATGTTAAACAATGAATGAGACGACTGAAGGACAAAAGGGGGCAGAAATGACATAAAAGAGGGAAGGGGAGGGGGGGAATGAAGATAAACGGAGGCAGAAACTGAGATTCCAAGATTTTCTTAAGGATTCAGTTTAACAAATAATGCCAAATCTTCTTACTTTAGTTTTGTACAGCTATCTCAATTTTCAACAAATAAGCAAACATTATTGAGGTTAGATAATTTGAAAATAAGTAATACTTTAACTCATATTGTCTGAAACATCTGTTTCAAGGCTATTTTTTATCTCTTTGCAAAAGCAAACATCCAGAAGTAGGGCAAAATCCAGATAATTTCAGAACACCAGATTTCCAGATTCATCCGCAAAATCATCATCTCAAAAAAAAAAAAGCAGACTCCCTAAAATAATGGTCAAAACAATAGATTTTAGAATTAGTAAAAGTTTTACGGCACTTGCAACACAATTGGTTCATACAAGTGCTGAAGATTAGAGGTGTTACAAGAGAGTAACAGACACAAAAAAGAAGGATCTCCCCTTCTTCTTTTTTATGTTTGTTACTCTCTTGTAACACCTCTAATCTTCTGGCGCTCATACGACCTTATGCAGTTGCTTGCGCCGTAAAACCTCCACTAAAACTAAAACGTCAGGGACACACACTTACTGCTGACTTGTGGGAAGGCGTCCAGGTAGTCGTAGGAGAGCAGCGGGACAGGAAGTTCCCGCAGGAACTGTTTGAACACCACTGCCACATCATGAGGGCCCGCATCCCCCCAGGCAAACAGGCCCTGGTAGAACTTCTCCTCTAGGTCCTGGCGCAGTTGCTGGGACAGACACACAGACAGACAGACAATCAGACAGACAGACAGACAATCAGACAGATAAACGGACAGACAGACAGATAATCAGACAGATAGACAATCAGAATGATAAATAGACAAACAGACAGTTTAGTTTTAGTAAGGGTTTTATGGCACTTGCAACACAATAAGGTCGTATAAGTGCCAAAGATTAGAGGTGTTACAAGAGAGTAACAAACATAAAAAAGAAGGAGGGGAGATAAAGATGATAGACGTTTGATAGGAAAGAGAAGAAGCAAACCACACCAGAGCACCCGCCAACCACCCACAAAATATGTAAAAAAAAAGTTTTTTTAAAATTCAGCTCGCATTAAAAGAAAGTAAGCTTGACAAAAATGAAAGTGTTAAAAAAAACCGTCAGCTTTAGTAGACAAAAGTAAGAGACAAACATCAGTTTGGAAAAAAAAACGTCTGACATTTGGTCGCTTTTAAGGACAAGTGGGCTATCCCGAAAAATGCTGTTTTGAGATTCTTTAAAAGACAAGGAGATCTTTCTCTATAACCAAACGTTGTTGTTATTGTTGTTATCGATCAAGAGCAATAACCAAACAAATATACACACCAATGAAACAAAACTTCTCCTATAGGTAGGGCAATGCTCACTTTTGGTGTGGGTCAAGATTTCTGGAAACCCCCAAAATTTGGGTTAGCCCGCTTGTCCTTAATATATAAGAGACCAATTCTCCTGGGTCAGTGTGTGAGCTGACCACGAGCTCCCTGCCTCACCTTAGCCCTTGTGTCAGCCCCGGACACACGCAGGATGCCCTCGGTCGTCAAACCTTCCTTCTCCAGGAAGTTCACCATCTGGAAAAGAAAAAACATTTGTATTGTTGGAAGTTTCAGTTCCGTTCAGTTTGGTTATTTTATCTTTTTTTTTTTTTAAAATAAATCTTAGTAAGAGTTTTACAGCACTTGCAACACAATAAGGCCATATAAGAGCCAAAGATTAGAGGTGTTACAAGAGAGTAACAAACACAAAAAAAGAGGGAGGGGAGATCAGGACGATAGATGTTTGATAGGAAAGAAGGAGTAAACCATACCATAGCACCCGCCAACCACCCACTCAGTCTAGTTAGACTTTCATGATGAGGCACATTCGAGAGTCAACTTTTTTTTTCTTCTCAAAACATGGGGTTTTTTTCTTTATAGAACTGCACCAAAAAAAACACTGGTTTTTTTTTTAATTTTTTTTTTTTAAGTGCAGCAAAAGCAGTATACCATTTTGTACAAACCGCTACATATTCTCTTCGCGCAAATCAATTGCTTTCCTCGAGTCATATGAATTTGCTTGTGGAGGATCCAAAGCACACCAGAGCTCCCACCAGTTACCCACTAAGTAAAAATATCAGGAATTCAAATTTCCAGATTTTATCCTTCTTTGTTTTAGTAAAGTTTTTACGGCACTCGCAACTGCATAAGGTCATATGAGAGCCTGAAGAATGGAGATGTTACAAGAGAGTAACAAACATAAAAAAGAAGAACAGAGCACCCGCCAACCACCCACCCAGATTTATCCAGAACTTCATCCCTGAGAGAGCAAAGCATAGAGAACTCACAGCCTGAAACACCAGAGGAATGTCCGTGCCTGGAGATCTCTTCTGGTCCCGCTCTACTAGCAAGTCTAGGGGAACTCCGAAGATCCCTTGGTCTGAGAATGTACAGAGATATATTATATATTATATGTATCCTACAATAGTGTGTGTGTGTGTGTGTGTGTGTGTGTGTGTGTGTGTGTGTGTGTGTGTGTGTGTGTGTGTGTGTGTGTGTGTGTGTGTGTTTTCATCACACAAAACAAGTAAGACGAAAGACAAAATTTGACATGATCAATAAGACAAACAACAGGAAGTACCATGATCAGCAATGTCTGGTCCAGACCTGATCTCAGAAGAGGAAGTGTAACGAAAAAACAAAACCGAAAAAAAACTCGAAGTTCTCAGATGCGTCACTACATCATGGGACCGCGGTACTGACCCTTCATCTTCTTCTTCCTCTTGGGTCGCGAGTAGACGATGCTGTAGTGGTCAAACAGTGCGGTCAGCTCGATGTGTGCCAGGGACTTGATCTTGTCCATGTCGCACTCCGCCAGGTCCCCAATTAGGGTCACACCCAGGGGGTCGGGTTTGGGCTCAAATGCCTGCAAGTGAGGGAAAAGTAAGTGTGTGGGTTAAACGCCCCTACCAACAGTATGAGGTTATTTTTAAATGCCTGCAAGGAAATGACAGAGTTACTCAAAATAACGAGAATAAATAAAATGTAGGCGTTTTAATGCCCTCATCGACACAAAATTAAAATTGTTTAGAAGCTGGGCTTCTGAGCCTGCCTGCCACGGCTAACCAGGGTTAAAAGGGATAATAATAATAAATGACATTTATATAGCGCTCAACCCCGTTTATTAAAGTACACAGGCTCTGAGCGCTTTACAATACAGTACAACATACAACAGTAACCTAAAACGCTGTGTTCTGACTAAAAGAAAATCACTCCAAATATTCAAAAGATTAATTTAAAAACAGAAACGACTTCAGCTGACATTTGAAAGAATCAAAAGATTTGATCTGTCTTAAAGTACTTGGTAAAGTATTCCAGATCTGGGGGCCTTGGTATTCAAATGATACAACATTCCAATGAAAAAAAGACAGAGAATCTCCACAAACATCCCCCCCACTCAGGAATCGAACTCAAATCTCCTGACAGAGACAGCGAAGTGCCCTAAGCACCACGCCACAGGCGCCGGCCAACCCAGAAGAGAGACAAAGACACTCAACAATACATTTTCCCTAAGTGGTTAATTTTAGTAGAGGTTTTACGGCGCTCGCAACTGCATACGGTCATATGAGTGCAAGAAGATTAGAGGTGTTAGTTACAAGAGAGTAACAAAACATTTAAAAGAAGAAGGGTAGATAAGGACGATAGATGTTTGATGGCCTATCAGAAGAAGTAAACCACACCAGAGCACCCGCCAACCACCCACTTCCCTTTGTGGGACTGAACCTCCCATCCCTAGGCCTGTACGGCAAACACTGTAACCACTCCACCACACAGACATGACGCTGGTGCACCGACCCGACACCATCCTGGTCCGTCACAACACGTAAACATGACCCCGTGGGTGGTTGGCAGGTGCTCTGGTGTGGTTTGCTTTTTCTTTCCTATCAAACGTCAATCATCCTTATCTCTCATCCTCCTTTTTTTTTGAGTTTGTTACTCTCTTGTAACACGTCTAATCTTCAGCACTTATATGACCGTATTGTTTTGCAAGTGCCATAAAACTCTTAATAAAACTAAACTAAACATGACGCCTGACCCAGTCAGTCTCCCCCCCC